CTCTGGACCTTCCTCACCCAGCAGGAAGGATGGAGTTTTCCCTCTGCTCTCAAATGGTCCCTTTTGCTCATGGTCTGAGGTGGTCTCCACTTCACAGTACCGCCCAGTCTGCGCCAGCCAACCTCTTCTCATCATCTGCCTGGCTCCAGCCCCCAGCACCAGGCTTCGGGCCCTCCTCCTGCCACCTCTCCCCCTTCCTGCCCCGCTCCAGTCTGCAGAGCTCACTCCCCCTCCTCCCTCCAGTCTGCAGAGCTCACTCTCCCCTCCTCCCTCCCCCCTCCCAGTCTGCAGAGCTCACTCCCCCCTCCTCCCTCCAGTCTGCAGGGCTCACTCCCCCTCCTCCCTCCTCCCTCCCAGTCTGCAGAGCTCACTCCCCCTCCTCCCTTCAGTCTGCAGAGCTCACTCCCCCCTCACCCTCCTCCCTCCAGTCTGCAGAAATCACTCCCCCTCCTCCCTCCAGTCTGCAGGGCTCACTCCCCCTCCTACCTCCAGTCTGCAGAGCTCACTTCCCCCTCCTCCCTCCAGTCTGCAGGGCTCACTCCCCCTCCTCCCTCCAGTCTGCAGAGCTCACTTTCCCCTCCTCCCTCCAGTCTGCAGGGCTCACTCCCCCTCCTCCCTCCAGTCTGCAGAGCTCACTCCCCCTTTCCCCCTCCAGTCTGCAGGGCTCACTCCCCCTCCTCCCTCCAGTCTGCAGAGCTCACTCCCCCTTTCCCCCTCCAGTCTGAAGGGCTCACTCCCCCTCCTCCCTCCAGTCTGCAGAGCTCACCCCCCTCCTCCCTCCAGTCTGCAGGGCTCACTCCCCCCTCCTCCCTCCAGTCTGCAGGGCTCACTCCCCCCTCCTCCCTCCAGTCTGCAGAGCTCACTCCCCCTCCTCCCTCCAGTCTGAAGGGCTCACTCCCCCTCCTCCCTCCAGTATGCAGAGCTTACCCCCCTCCTCCCTCCAGTCTGCAGGGCTCACTCCCCCTCACCCTCCTCCCTCCAGTCTGCAGAGCTCACTCCCCCCCTCACCCTCCTCCCTCCAGTCTGCAGGGCTCACTCCCCCTCACCCTCCTCCCTCCAGTCTGCAGAGCTCACTCCCCCTCCTCCCTCCAGTCTGCAGAGCTACTCCCCCCTCCCCCTCCTCCCTCCAGTCTGCAGAGCTACTCCCCCCTCCCCCTCCTCCCTCCAGTCTGCAGAGCTCCCTCCCCCTCCTCCCTCCAGTCTGCAGAGCTCCCTCCCCCTCCTCCCTCCAGTCTGCAGGGCTACTCCCCCTCCTCCCTCCAGTCTGCAGAACTCACTCCCCCTCCTCCCTCCAGTCTGCAGAGCTCACTCCCCCTCCTCCCTCCAGTCTGCAGAGCTCACTCCCCCCTCTCCCTCCCCCCTCCCATTCTGCAGAGCTCACTCCTCCTCCTCCCTCCAGTCTGCAGAGCTCACTCCCCCCTCTCCCTCCCGCCTCCCAGTCTGCAGAGCTCACTCCCCCCTCCTCCCTCCAGTCTGCAGAGCTCACTCCCCCTCCTCCCTCCAATCTGCAGAGCTCACTCTCCCTCCTCCCTCCAGTCTGCAGGGCCCCCTGCCCACCCTCTCCAGTCAGCACTGCATCAGACAGCTCCACCTTCCTTCTTCTGAACCTGCTTCCTTTGTTCATGGCACTATGCCTTTCATATGTTGCGTGTTTATTTTTCATTTCCCTCCTTTGGAATCTAAGCTCTGTGTGTGCTGGTATTTGCAGTAAAACACTGTATTCTCAGTGGCTGAAATGGTCCCAGGAGGTACAAAACACAATAGGAACTTTATAAATAACTGAATGAATGAATTAAGTGGATGGATCCCACACAGAACCAACGTTAGGTTAAAAAACTTAAACCAGTGTACTTTTAAGAAGAGCATGCTAGGTTCCCATCAAGGTGGCAGCATAGGTGAACGCAGTACTCCCATTCTTCCCACACCACACCAAAATACAGAACAATTGTCACTCAGAACTTGCAATCTAATGGAACAGAATTTCTGCACCTGGGGAATTAACAAAGAAGCACATCGAGACTGGCAGGAGGAGTGGAGACGTGGGGGAAACTGCTGAACCATGGGCCTGACAACCCTGTGGCAGTTTTAAAATCAGGAGGGAAATCTTGGCTGTGGAGGTTTCCCTGAGGAATGAGGGGTCCCTGCTCCAAACCAGCACCCCCAGCTCGATTCCACAGCTTCTGGCTGTAAAAACCAGCGGGGAGTGACTTAGTGACACGAAGGCTGCTGGAGCCCCAGGCAGTTCCCCTTAAAGGGCCTGCACACGGACCTACCTGGACTCACTCCCTGGGCACTCCAGCACTGGCAGCAGCAGCAGGGAACTGGGATATTCAGGGAGGACTAACTTGCCAGGAACCAGGAGAAGAGCTGGAGGGCAGCTTTCTTCCAGGCGAAGGCCTGGAAGAGGCCATGTTCCTTTGCTGAGCCTGCTCTGTCAAGGCTCCATATCGGAATCTCCATCCACCTAGCTCACATTTTACCCTGCCCTGGCAATTCCTTGAGGCCCTATCCCTCCCTGCTTGAGGCTCATCCAAGCCATATCCAGTGGCTTTTCCATACAACTGGCCACTCTTGCCTCATGCCTCACACTTTCCTAAAATCCCTCAAATAAACAGCAGCTGGCCTCAGCATGCCCTGTACCTCTCAATAAGTGGGCCCAGGCCAAACTCTAGTGGCAGCCTGCCCTGGTTCATGGCATGGCCTCTCCTGGGCACCTCCTTGCCCAACAAAAGTCACAGCTATCTGAAGGGCTCAGGCAGGGCACAGACAGTGGTTGACTCTGTACCTCCCAGTAGGCCCCAGAGCCAGTGCACCAGATTACAACTGTACCACCCCCACAAGTGACACGAACAAGGGGTGGACTCAGTGAGCACCAAAGTCGCCACTGTAACAAGGCCTGATCTATAGGGTTGGCTACCCAGCAGCTCTTTTGTTGTAGTGTAGCTGATCCTTGCTACTGATTGGCCTAGGGGTCAATTCTTCCCAATGACACCAACATAAATCAAGGCTCAACTACAATAAGACTGCACACAGCTCACACTGGGGTGCACCTGGAGTGCCTGCTCAGGTGACTTGGGAGGCTGAACCACTGGGCCTTCCAGGACACCTACTACATTAGGCCACTCCACCTAGTTTTGGAGACTTAGTAGATCGACCTACTATATAGAAACAAACACAGGAAAGCAGCCACAATGTGGAGACAAAGAAACAGGTCAGAAATGACATGTTTTCTGGAGAATCTCCAGAAAAATAATTAAATGAAATGGAAGCAAGAAAACTACCAGATACAGAGATCAAAACAATGGTTACAAATTTGCTCAAGGAAGTCACTGAGAATTTAAGATACTTAGTGAGAATTTTAAGGATCTTAGTGAGAAATTCTAGGAACTTAGTGAGAATAAATAAATGAGGACCAGTCAGAAGTAAAGAATATGCTAAGTGAAATAAAGAATAATTTATAGGGAATCAACAGTAGAATATAGGATTCCAAGAATCAAATAAAGAATTTGGAATATGAAGAAGCAAAAAACACCCATTAGAAGAGCAAAATGAAAAAAGAAAAAATATGAAGATAGTGTAAGGAGCCTCAGGGACAACTTGAAGCTTACCAACATTTGCATCATGGGTGTGTTGGAAGGAGAAGAGTTGGAGCAAGAAACTGAAAACCTATTTGAAAAAATAATGACAGAAAACTTCCCTTACAGAGTGGAAGAAATAGACAGACAAGTCCAGGAAGCACAGAGTCCCAAATAAGATAAATCCAAAGAGGCCTACAAGACACATGATAATTAAAATGTCAAAAGATAAAGACAAAGAGTGAAACTTAAAAGCAGCAAGAAAAAAGCAGTTACCTACAAGGGAGCACCCATATAACTGTTATCTGATTTTTCAACAGAAACTTTGTATGCCAGAAGGGAATGGCAAGGAAATATTCAAAGTGATGAAAAGCAAGAACCTACAATCAAGATCACTCTACTCAGCAAAGCTATCATTTAGAATTGAGGATCAGATAAAGAGCTTCCCAGAAAAGAATAAGCTAAAGGAGTTCATCACCACCAAAACAGCATTCATCAAACCAGAAAAGAATAAGCTAAAGGAGTTCATCACCACCAAACCATTAAAGGATCTTCTTTAAGAATAAGAAGAGGAAAAAAAATCACGAATAGGAATAATAAAATGGCAGTAAATACATATCTATCAACAATTGAATCTAAAATTCAAAATAAATGAACAAGCAGAACAGAAATAGGCAACATTTTTGACAGCTGGCAAATGGGAGGGATGTGGGGTGGATGGGTGAAAAGGTGAAGGGATTTAGAAATACAAATCAGTCATAGCCCATGGACACAGACAATAGACAGGTGAAGGCCTGGGATGGGGTGGGAGCTGGGTGGAGGGGGGAAAAGGGCAGAAAATGGGGAACATTTGTAATTCTCTCAACAATAAAATAATTTTTAAAATAAAATATATCAAGGTAAAAAAGAGGGCACTAAAATGGAAAACATTCAAAAGATAAAACTTTGTTACACATTTTTTATATCCTCTAAATTAGAATTGGGCATCTAAAAAGTTTCACTCCAGAGTATCTACAACAGGAGACAAGGGTAGGCAGGGCTGATTGTCAGGCCTCCAGAGGACCACTGGGCCACCTGTCCGGTGACGTCACACACATCCAACAACACAAGGGAAGGAGGGAGGAGGGAGCAGCAGATGGTGGCAGGGTCTGAGATATGTAAACAGGAAGAGCCTGAGGAAGTCTTTCTCTTTGACCCCTCAGGAGAGAGAGAGGCTTCTCTGGAGAGAGAGGCTTCCAAAGAATAAGGCGTCTGCTGAGGGGAGACCCAGCGTTTATTTGACTCTAGTTCCACATAAGTTCTCCAGGTCATTTTGATTTTGTTAAAACGTCGCAGGGAGAAAACCATAAATACTGTGTGCAGCAAGGGCTTAGACTTGACAGTGAAACAGTGATGGTGTCTTTCTACCCATCGCGAAGCACTTGCCTTGAACAGGTCGATATTGCTGAGGATGCTGAAGTTCATGTCCACGGCGAGGGCTGCCTGCATGGCGGCGGGCAGGGCCTCCAGCAGGTCCGCCTCGTCTTAAAGGTAAACACATCCACTCAGGGCGGAGTAGTTAATGGAAAACATCACTCAAGTGTGAGGGGAAACAAAACTGAACAAAATGCCAACTCTTTCCCTAAGCAGAGAGTGTCGTCAAATTCTATGCTCATGACACCTACTGGCCACACTGCTTCCCCCCCCCCCCCCCCCCCCCCCCAGCGGCAGCATGACTTTAACTGTGGACAACGTACAGTTCTGAATAAACCAGAACCCATGTTTGCTGAAACTGTAAATGCAGCTTAGTGGCCACGGGACCAGGGCTAGTGAGCAGACAGGCAGGTGGGACAGTCTAGTTCCTGTCGTCTGAACCTGAGGATCTCGGGCAGCACAAGGGCGGGCAGGTGATGGCAACCTCTACGCGCATCTGAGGGCTCAGGGCTCTGACCTCCTTATGTGACCCTGTGCAACCCTAAGGGTAAGCTCTCATCCCTGCTTCGCAGAAAGAGGAAACAGGACAGAACTACACTCAGAGCTGAGCTCGGCCATGCATGGGGCGGCCCGGGGGAACGGGACCTGAGAAGAATGTGGCAGTGAATTCCAGTTACTGCTGTTCCCTGGCCTATCCACTCGGTGAAGAATGTGGGTGTACGGACTGTTCCTACCTGTGAATGAAATGATGGGCTGATCGAATGTTCCATAAACAAAACCACCCAGTCTTGGTGTCTAGTATGCTACCAGTTTGAGAGTTATCATTTTTGATGTTTTCTTATAACCATTTAGAACAATCACTATATTATATTCTTATATTGTTTCCAATATGGAGGCCCTTCTATAAAGCATAGTCTCCTGTTTGGGGAGGGCTGTGTCCCGTTCCCCTAGCCTAGGCGGGAGCGGAGTCCCCAAGAAGAGGGGGGAGCTGCCCGCAACCCCTACTTCCTCCAGGGAGAGGGTGTGGCCTTGGCCTTGAGCTTCAGGAAGAGGCTCTGAGGGCAGAGAGGTGGAAAGGAGAGACTGTCTTACTCTGAACTAGCGGTTTCCCCGCTGCTCTCCAGAACCTCTGCGAGGAGAACCGCAGTGTGAGTTGTGCTTGAATGCTTGTTTCGCTTCTCAGTGGCACTATTCCCCTTTCTATATGGGAAGGGACAAACTAGGGGTTGAATCTGGTTATTGTGAACGAGCACATCCTCTTTGCTTTATGTCGTCTAATAACTGTGACCGCAGCAGGCGGCTCCACTCCCAGGACCTCCCGAGGGTGGCTGAGGGGCGGTGCCCTGCGCTGCCCGGAGCTGGTCTGAGTGCTGTGCTGGGTGGAGGCGGTGATGGCCCAGGTCCTCGGAGACCACGGAGGGATCTCCCTGGGCCAAAGCTTTCAGCTGGGCCCCCATTCCCTTGTGTCCTAAGAGGGGTTGGAGACACCCACTTTCCCAAATTCTATGAGGCAATGCGGGTGGCACCTGTCCCCGGCAGCTGCGGAATAAAACCAGGGTTTCTCTCCCGGGATTTGCAGAACCAGTAAGCTGGGCAGATAAGAAAAAACAAACAAACAAACAAACAAACAAACAAACGCCCTGGTCTATCAGCGATCCCCTAGAGATCTTAGCTGTTTCCAACCTCCTGCTCAAGCCGGTGGGTTTCCCCTGGGCCCCCTGAATGTCGTCAAGGGTCACAGGACACGGTGGGGGATGTAGGAACTTGCCCTGCTTACCCAGCATCCTCTCGGAGGGCCCTGCTTACCCAGCATCCTCTTGGAGGGCTCGCTTACCCAGCATCCTCTGGGAGGGCCCACTCACCCAGCATCCTCTGAGCATCCCACGTGTAGGCATACCAGGTGCGGACCCGGGCCTGCACGGGCCTGGGTATGGAGGAGGCGTTCATGAAGGTGACGGTGCGGTCCAGGCTGGCCCGGAAGTTGCTCTGAGCGGCCGTGGCGGCTCCGATGATGTCGCGCATCTGAAAGCAGAGCCCGCTCAGCCTGCCCGCACCCGCCCTGGGCCTTCCCCCGGGCTGTCCGCTCAGCCTGCCCGCACCCTCCTCTCCTCTGGCCGCTGGGCCTTCCCCCGGGCTGTCCGCTCAGCCTGCCCGCACCCTCCTCTCCTCTGGCCGCTGGGCCTTCCCCCCGGGCTGTCCGGCCTCCGCCGCTGACAGGAGAGACCGCGGCTCCTTCAGGGCTCAGCACAGAGACCTGCCACTGGCTTCTCTCACAGGGAAGCAAGAGTCGTGAACTTGCTCTGATGGTGGGCTTGGCCAAGCGGGAGAGGGGCCCCACTTCCACCCTCGCTGGCTGGGCTCATTCCTTCTGGCGCTGAGCCTTTCCTGCTTAAGGAGAGATGGCTCGCTCCCTGAAGTCCAGCTCAAAGGCTGTCCCTGGGATGCCTTCCTCGGATTCCATTTCAGAATTTATAGGCCCGCCCTAGCCAGTGTGGCTCAGTGGATAAGCATCGGCCTGCGGATTGAAGGGTCCCAGATTCACTACCGGTCAAGGGCACATTTAGGGTTGCGAGCTCCTGTGCAGGAGGCAGCTGATCAATGATTCCCTCTCATAATTGATGTTTCTAGCTCTCTCTTCCTCTTCCTTTCTCTCTGAAATCAATAAAAATATATTTTAAAAAAGGAATTCTTAGGCCCTTGTACTTGTCAGAGTCTGAGTAGCTGCAGGAGGTCAACTGGACACCTGGCCGCAGCCTCTGACGTACCAAGGGGCTCTTCCAAACATCCTCAGTCCCACCTCTCTGCTCTCCAAGCTGCTCTTGACAAAGGGGAACATGGCCGAGTCATCGAGGCTGGATTGGGAAATTTAATAGTTTTAAGTTGCAAACCAATTGAGCGTGCTGAGGCCCAGCACTGGCAGCGACAAGCATCTGAGTGGTTCCTGCACTGGGCTTGTTGGTGCAGGAGGCGAGGTAGCCGGGATCCGTGTGTGTCTGGGTTAGGGAGGGTGTGAGGCGGAAGGGGGTGAGGGTGGGTCTCCGGGCGGGTTGAAGGATAGAGTCTGGCAGTAGACCATGAGGTGCAGGTCCCCGTGCAGTCTTTGGGTCTGGGTGGGGTCTGGGACCAGCCGTGCTTTGTACAGGCCCTCTGAGGTGTGTTTCCAGCCTTTCTCCTCACCTCCATTGCTCACGGTTAGAGTTCAAGGCACAGCCTTCACCTCCCACCCCATCTTGCCCTTGGGCTCTGGTTCTGCATTTCTAGTCGTGTGGCATTTCTCCCCGTTTTTGAATCCCAGCCAACAAAAGGCAGGCCGGTGGTGTAAGCACCGCTTCTCCAGCCTCCAGCGCACAAGAACCACCTGAAGATCTTGTCAGTGAAGACCTCAGCTCCTTAGGTGTTGGCCTGCGTCCGGCCTGAATCTGACTTTCCCAGGAGACTCTGCTGCTGGTTGAGGACCACATCTGAGTAGCAAGAATACTGATCTGGAGCAGACGGTGTTGAATCTTGTAAACATTGCCTTGGACATAGGCAGTGCTGAGTTCATGCTGGGCTCTGCTATTAGTTCCAATAGTAGGTCACAGGGCTGCAGCTTAGACTGTAACATTACTCGTGTGAATTTGAATTGTACTTCTCTTGAAGTGTTCCAATCATCGTTAATGCAGTCTGCCAGCCACTGAGATTCTGTTTTATACTCAAAGTTGTTAACTGCTCGGTATTCACCTTCTCAAACCCAAGTGTTTTCTTAGTAGAGTTGCTTTGCAGCCTCTCTCCCCTATGTTACCAGGGTCAGGCTGCAGTTGGCCTATTTCTGTGTAATTGCATTAACCATGCATTTTATTTTCTGTATTTTGATGCTTTGATATATGGGGCCACCCCCACCCAGAGCTAGCTAATTCCCGGAGTCTGCATCTGGAAGGCACACTATCCGGGGTGGAGCCTGCCTTCCTGGGCGCTGGCATCCCTGTCACTCCTTGCCTGCCTTCCTCGCCCCAGGGTGGGGCCAGACACCAGAGACAGCTCCACCCCCAGGGGCACAGCATCACCTGAGTCCTAACCCGCTGACCTGCTCCCGCCCTGGGGGCCTCCTGTGGCCCCTGTGTGAGCCTCCTCTTGGATCTGTTTGTAAACAAACTATGTTTTGATGCCAATTGCTTCCTGGTCTGTTGGCCTCACTATTCCCAAGTAATAATAAAACCAACATTTTAAAAAGCACCACCCCTCCTATTTATATTATATTTTGGTTAATCTTTCTTGAATCTCTTCTTCAAAGTCCTCTTCCGGCCGACTTCCCATTGCTTTTAGGATAAACTCAACATCTCTGACTGAACATTCAGAGCCCCTAAACCAGCTCATCCCGACACACACCTGTAACCTTAGTTACAAGTGTCCCTCCCTCCATCCTTCTGGTACCTGTTCTACTTCCCTGAACACAACCTGTGCTCACCACTGCCCATCAGAGAAATGAAGCCACCCGCCCGTAAAAGCCTAATCTTACCTGCTTTTACAGATGTTTCAAGAATCCTCCAAGAACCTCCTGGGAAGCACCCTTTCTGAGCGAACACAGTTTTCCAACTCCCCTCTGGTCTTCGGGAGGGCAAGTCCTCGCCACTCATGGAGGTAGGAGTTAGTGTTGACTGTGGGTGTCAGCTTCAGGTGTTAGAAAGAGTAGTGCTTACTGCTAAGTTTTGTTACAGCACAGGTTTTATTCACACCACAGTAAGTGTGGTGAGTGTGGTGAGTGGGAACAATTGTTTATCTAGCAGGAATATCACTGACTTTCTCTGACTTGACTCAGCACACAAATCTCAACATGGCTTTTTACTCTCAAGTGTGCAATGTAAAGTACCTTCGGAGAGGTACAACTTCTGCAGATGCTCTGCTGTTGAGCTTTTTGTTTCTTGTGAATCTGAGACTCCGCGAAGATACTGGGCTCTGTCTCTTGCAAATGCCAACCACCTTGCAATAGTTACTTATGCATCTGCTTTGCTTTCTTTTGAGACTGTGGCTCCTTGAGAAGGAAGACAGGAGCTGCCACAATGAACACTGATGAACTGATAGTTTCTTACGTTAATTTGGGTGGCATTTGCTGATCTCTGAAGTGGATTTTACACCCCCCCCCCCTTTAAAAAAAAACCTCAAAACATAATTTTATTGATTTGAGGGAGAAAGGAAGGGAGAGGGAAAGAGACAAGCATCAATGATGAGAGAGAATCATTGATTGCCTCCTGCATGCCTTCTACTGGGGATCTAGCCTGTAACCAGAGCATGTGCCTTGACCTGGAATCGCACTGTGACCTCCTGGTTCATAGGTCAACCCTAAACACCAAGCCACACTGGCCAGGCTAGTCTGGGGTCTATGGCAATACATGATGTTTAAGTAAAAGGTTTTGGAGAAGCTCCAGGTAGGAAGTTACGTTAGAAACGTGCCTTTCTCTGTGAGTCTAACCCAACGTTCTGTGCGCACAGGTCCCCAGTAGACTGGACACTTTGAAAACAGAAAGGCCTGTCACATCCTCTTCTAATTCACCAACGTAGATGAGTTAGTTTGAAAAGAGCACCACACAGATTGGGATTTTTCCTGAGAAGTTGACAGAGGCACACTCGCTTTCCCACAGTGACAGCATCATGCACCTAGTTTTCTCATCTTGACTGACCTGACCAATCAAGCTGGAGAACACGAAAACTCCCAAGAAAAAGTTCAGCAGCTGAAACACAATTTCGAATAAAGTCTGTGGTTCTGGAAGACCCCCAATGGTAATCAAACTTCGGACTGCCCAGTAATAACATCTCAGATACCTGAGAAAAGAGAAAATACACATTTTGCTTTCTACTCTAAAATATCACTGAGCTTGGGAACATATATCACCACCACATTATAACACACATCCTCCTGATCAAGATTTCTTTCTATGGCAGCATTGGGAAGCACCACGTGTTCTAATGTCAACTTCTTATTATTTTAAATGAGTGCCCCAGTGCACAAACTCATGCACATTGAAAGGAAATTAATTAGAAGGTGGTTGGTGGGGCGGGACTGGGTGAGATGGGCCAGACACACCATGAAGCCAACCTCTCATAGTCAGTCCCTCCCTGACCAGCTGGCCGCATTTGGGGTGGCAGTGTAGCTCAAAGGGCCTCTTGTGGAGTGGGTCTCTCCAGCAGGTGGGGTCCCTCAGCTTGGCCTGCGGGGATCAGGCCAAAACCGGCTCTCTGACATCCCCCTAGGGGTCCTGATTGAGAGAGGATGGTTCTCAGGTGACACAACCTGGGATCAGGCTCCCTCCTCTTTGGTTTTGAGATGCAAAAATCACTTGAGAACCACTGCTGCCAAGTCACCACAGCTTGGCAGCTCTTGCATTGAATGTCTGTCTCCTTGTGGTCAATGCATGTCATAACTACTGGTTGGATGGTCAGATGGTCACTTAGCTTTTTATATATGTAGATATTTTGCCCTGGCCAATTTTACTTAGTGGCTAGAGTGTCATCAGCTCATGGTCTTGGGTTAGATTCTTGGTCAAGGGCATGTACTTTGGTTGCAGGTTTGATCCCTGGCCCAGGCACCTGTGGGAAGCAACCAATCAATCTCAATCTCTCTCTCTCTCTCTCTCTCTCTCTCTCTCTCTCTCTCTCTCCTCCCTCCCTTGTACTCTCTCAAAAAATCAATAGGAAAAATATATTTGGGTGAGGATTAACAGAAATTAAAAAAAATTGAGAGTGAGAGAGAGAGAGACATGGATCAGCTGCCTCCTGCATGCCCCCTTCCAGGGATCTAGCCTGAAATTTGGACAAGTGCCCTGAGCAGGAATTGAACCAGTGACCTTTTAGTGCACAAAGGACACCCAACCAACTGAGCCACCCCAGCTGGGGCTAATGTCACCTATTGATAAACCTTGTGAAATGACTCAACAAACCAAAGGAGGGTGTCTACTCTTGCTGCAAAACAAATCACTCTAAAATTTGATGCTATAAATCAATACACTCTAAAATTTGATGCTATAAATCAATAACTATTTCTTTAGGCTCATACTCTGTGGCTCAGGAACTCATGCCAGGCCCAGCAGAGATGGGTCCTCTGTGCCCGTGAAGAGTGGGCCCTCAGGAGGGGAGGGGTGGCTGGGAAAGCTGGAAAGACTTGACTGAGCCCAGGTGTATGGGCCTGGATCCTGTGCCTTGCGCAGTCCTCTGTTCTGCAGTCTGCTTGGAGCGCTGGGAGGTACCAGCAGACAGACTGGTCTCTGCCCGGCTCCTGGTTCAGAGCTCCTGACACCTGTGGATTCCTGGGTGACAGGGATATTTCTTTGTCCTAAGGAGGTAGCTCTGGGCTGGCTCCTGGATGAGGCTGGTCACTGGGAGGACCACACCATGATTAAGCTTGGAATGTTCTTTTAAATTTTTTTGAAGGCTTTACATTTAATTTCATTTTTATTGATTGAATTTAAAAAAATATATTTTATTGATTTTTATAGAGAGGAAGGGAGAGAGACAGAGAGCTAAAAACGTCGATGAGAGAGAAACATCGACCAGCTGCCTCTTGCACACCCCTACCGGGGATGTGCCCTCAACTAATGTACATGCCCCTGACCGGAATCGTACCTGGGACCTTTCAGTCTGCAGACCGACGCTCTACCACTGAGCCAATCCGGTTTTGGCTTTTATTGATTGATTTTTAGAGAGAGAGGGGGGAAGGGAGAAACAAAGATCAATTTATTCTTTTGATTTATGCATTCATTGGTTGCTTCTTGTATGTGTCCTGACTCGGGATTGAGCCTGCGTCCTTGGCATATCAGGACGATGCTCTTACTGAGCTACCTGGCCAGGGCAAAGCTTGGAATTTTCATCAGATCTAGAAAGAAATCACTCATTTTGAAATTCACTTTTGAAGGACATGAGTTGCGCTTTTTTTTTTTTTTTTTTTTTTTTTTTTTTTTTGTAACTTGGCAGATGTAGGCATTGGTAGGTTGGAAACCACTCTGCCAAGGGGATGACAATGCACTTTCTTCCAGCAGCTTCCTTGGCCTTCGTGCTATCACAGTGAACTTGGGTGTTAAAGAGGATCACTTTGAAGAAGTATGGAATGCATTTTAACTTCCAAATTTATCATTTCCTGTTACCTGCACCTATGTGTCTTTTTAAAATAAGGAACCTTATTTTTACTTTTAAATCTTTATTGTTGAAAGTATTACTTATGTCCCCTCTCCCCCACCCTGACCTCTTCTAGCCCCCCCGCCCCTACCCCAGGCCCTCCTCACTGAAGCAGTATTGCTCCGCAGAGGGCAGCCGGCGCTGCTGCGTGGGACCCGCTCCCACAGGGGTTGGGACTCCGTGCCCGCCTCTGTCACCCTGTGCGAGCAGGGACAGGCATGTGGATTCCGCTCTCATTTCTTGTTTTCCATGCTCACTATCACGCCCGTGGCGCTCAGGCCTAGCTCACACTGTTGCGTGTGTGTGAATAGTCTGCATGCTAATCGGAGGTTTCCTGCCTGACGCTCCGAGGTTTGTTGGGGATTCTTTCCTGTCACGTCTTATACCCAGACATGCACACCCAACGGTGAGAGTCGTGATTTAATTAGGTGGCATCTTAAGGATTTTCTAGGATCAGCGTAATGACCCAGCGACTCCGACTCCCTCTGCTGCAGAACTCTGCGCATGGAGGTCTGGTTACTGACGGGGCCGCGTGTCTGGGAAAGGCTGTTCCCCCTGCGCTTGGACCCGGGTCTGAGCTGAGGATCTAGGGACTCGGAGGAGACACCCTCTGGACCTGGGCCTGCATCTCTGTGGGAGATGGGGGGTTACCCTTCCTCAGGGCCTCTGCCGGGGTCCCCAGGGCAGCCCGGCGCTCCCCCTTCCTGTGAAGACCGTGTGCTAGCACCGGGGCTCGGGGTTCACAGAGGTTTGGGCATATCGGGAGTTTATGTCAGAAGAGAGAGAAACATATGGTCAAAGATGGACAGGGAGTATTCACGGGAACCAGGTAACTGACCTGGTTATGCTCTCCCTGGCTAAGCCCGGGCCTTGCCCTCCACTAACCTACAAGTGGAAGGGCTTGTCTCCCTTGAAGCACACAGTGTCAGTCTGGTGAGGATTCACGGGACGGCAGTAAACTTGATTCAATTTTAAATGTTCCCAGCGACCGACTTAGGTCCCGCAGTCTGCCGCCGGGTCCTCGCCGGGCAACGTTTCCAAGTCCAGTGGCCTCAGGAGCGTCGGCCTTTATGGCCATCAGAAACCACACAGGCTTACACGGCCCAAGTGCACAGAGCAACACGAGGGGCAGGCTGTGCTGGTCAGGGCCCCTGCAGATCGTCCAGGACACGTGAACACGCTGCTGCTGCAGGCATGTCCCCGCTGGCGCCTGGGCGAGGGGCTTTGGTTCTGAGGGGGAGTCTCCTGGCTGCAGAGCAGCGTGGGCACCTGGGGGAAGGCATGCTTACTGCAGCAGAGGGGCTGGAGGAACACTGCTGGGAAGTGTGGGGAGCCTGCTCCTGCCCTGGGAAGGGATCACTTTTGTAACTTTTCTGTGAGTGATTGAGAGGAACAGGTGGTTGCTAATTATTCGGTGCAAGGTTCTGTTTACACCCACTAAATCCAGCCTGTCAGCTGGGTTCTCACATTTTCTGACTTCATTAACAACTGTTCTTGTTCTAGACCAATCAGCAGTCATGTGCAGCCGTCCACACTTTGATGGTGTATTTGCTAATTTCTCTTCCTTGTATTCATTTTTGCTAGATGAGTTTCTCTGTTTTATCGTAACTATTTTATTAAGTGCATGTCATTTAGATTGGGATATATTAATGGGGAATAAAAACTTTTACTGTTGTATGGTGACATTCATTTTCCTAAAATTATTTTTGTTTTAAAGCTTATTGGACTGATATTGACAATCTCTTTTGGTTGACGAATTTGGTCCATTCTTTTTTTGACTGATTCTGTTTTTTTAGTTTTCTGATCCATTGTCCCGTCTCTGGATGAGGACACTGTCCTTGTTTCTGTTCCCCGGTGGCGTCTCGTCACCTGCCCAGGCCTCAGCACACACACAGCTGTTAGGTAGACTTTGCGATCCTTACAGTTTTGCAATAACTGAAAGCAGTTGTGATCATAAATTGTCTAGAAACATAACAAGTAATCACAAACAACAAAGATTACAGTCTTGTTGGATTTTAGAGATGGCCCTTGTGGACACCTGGCCTGCACTACGCCTGGGATCAGAGATGTGATTTTAGCGTACTGTCGCCCACAGAAGGAATTCTGGTGCAGCTCTGTAGTAACTTGCTGATTTGCGAAAACCAGTTACCAGGCTCTGGCATGAATTACACACTCACTTTTAGGCAATATTTACTAGAGTTGGTACCTTACTCAGTTTCCTATATAAATAAGTTATTTATAACTAGAGGCCCAGTGCATAAAATTTGTGCACAGGTGTGTGTGGGGGAGTCCCGTCAGCCTAGCCTGCACCCTCTCCAAACTGGGACCCGTCGGAGGGGATGTCCAGCTGTCTAAGGCAGAGGCTTCCAAACTTGTTTGGTCATGATGCAGTGTAAGAAATGCCATTTCCTGGGTCAGCAAAGGATGCGCATGCACACATATTCACATGTGTGTGCACACAGACACACACATGCATACACACATGCACACACATATGCACCCATACTAGATATGACAGAGTCTGATGTTTCCTATTCTGTCCTCCTCTACTTGATCTTCTTTCACTGAAAATATCCCATTAAAGAGTTTTCGCCGCCCACTGATGGGTTATGACAAGTTTCAAAAATATTGGCTTTACAAAACTCTCACACTGACACAGAAAGTTAAGAGGGCAATAGAAATTCCCTCGGAATGAAAACTCACATGTTTCCTTGGCCGTTGTACACCCACCGGGTGGTCCCGATGCCCTGGCGGTCGGAGGCCCAGTAGTAGATGCAGGCGTTCACGTGCAGAGCGAACAGCAAGCAGCCCGCCGTCCGAGCCACCCTGCGGAGGACGCAGAGCAGGCCTCGCGCTGGCGGCTCCTTCCTCTGACCTGGCTGCCCAGTCTCCTCACTCCAAATCTGGGCGTTACCTCCCACGCAGCAGTGACAGGATGGAGCCAGGGCACGCTCTCTGACTGCAGTGTCTGGACAGGCACTGAGAGTAACTCTCCCCCGCCCCCTCTTTCCGCAGATGCTATGGATCTGCTCCCAGGGTCACCTGTCCACCCTGAGTCCATGAAATAGCTGCGCTGACTTAACCTGGGGAAGGCTCTCCGGCCTCCTGCTGTGGTTAACTGGCTGGAGGTGTCCTGCACGGGAGTGTCAGTGGAGCACAGAGGAAACTCGGCTGGGAATGAACTGTCTGCGGGAGACCGAGCCTGTGACCCAGCACAATTGTTTGTACCTGTTCTCATGGAAGCCGGAATTCGGCCTATTTTTTAGTCATATCCAAGAAAAAGTTATCAGAGTCTGGTGTATGTTACACCTTCACTTTTAGGCAGTATGATTTCCATACTCTCATCTCACCTCAAAATATATTCAAGTTTGCTTTAGGAATATAACCTCATTATGTGTCCCAAATCCGAGATGATCCCTCCTCTTTGCAGGAGGTCACATTTGTCCATCTGAAATGTACCCCTGCAAATGTACCCCTTCCAGCCAACAAACACTGAGCTCCCTTACCTGTAGATATATGCCCCGTCCATGATAGACTCCATCTTACCTGTGGATATACACCCTGTCTGCTGTTGACTCCATCTTACCTGTAGATATATGCTTTGTCCATGATCGATTCCAGGCGATGATTAAATTCAAAGAATGACCTGTACTATATATAAAACAAGCAGAAGAAATCCCAAAGACATCCATTTAAATAAAGCTATACGACACATATTTTGTTGTCGTTCAAAATAATCCCATCTACACATCTTAAAAAAAGACAAACTAGTGTCTGTTGAGTGGATTTTCCTCTAGGGTCACTTAGCATAGTGCCTAACCAACTTCCACAGCTCCTGCTTATTAGACTTCCACCCTCTAGTTTAGGGGTGTCGAACTCAATCAGAGAAGGGGCCAAAATCTAAAGTCCAGCCTAAATCGCGGGCCGAATGGTTTACTGAACAGTCATAAACTGTCATTGTGATGGAAACGCAGCGGAGTGCAGTGATGACAGCGCGGTGCGGGCCACATTGCAAGGCCTGGCGGGACGGATTTGGCCCGAGGGCCTTGTGTTTGACACATGTGCTCTAGTTAATCTTGTTCCTAATGCTAATGAAAACCAAGCTGAAAACCAAGCTGAAAAGCATTTTTCCTGTTTCTTTATAAAGCACAGAGTAGAACTCTATTTTACAAGAATTAAAATCACACTCCCCAGAACGTCCGTGAAAGAGGAAGATGATAACACATTGAAGTCACAAGTAGATGCTGATCCTGAGGCTCAGGGCTAGCACTGTTCCTAAGCAAGTTCCATTAAATGTGTTTAATTTCAACAACATTTCAAGTCCAGTAAATATGAGTATCAGTTATAATTCGTGACATTGCTTAAAGAGACAGGGAGCTTACACAGGTTGAATCCAAACAGAGTGGCCATTTCCTTTGAGGTTCTTTCCTGCTTACATCTACTTCTACCTCCACTCACCTCCCCACACTCGCCTGCCCACCTCCTCCTTTACCAGCCGAGGTAGAGGAAAGCAGGAGTGAGACTGCACCCCTGCCCTTTGCTAACTGTGTGGCCTTGGAAAAGTCACTTAACATTTCTGTGCCTCAGTTTTCTCATCTGTAAAATGGGGACAATAAAATAACATGTCTCTTGGAGGGGTTGGATGCACACCCAGTTAATGCATGTAATTATTTACTGTGCTGAGAATCACAGGATCCTATAGCGAGGAGGGACTATTAGAGATTATTTTGTTCCAAGATTATGTAGTTCAGAATTTCATCCAATCTATATCTGACTATAGTAGAACATTTGGAATTAAAAAACAGACATAATAGTAATGACTCTTTAGCCAGAAATATACACAAATGGTTCATTTGCCCAGAATTGCTGAGTAGGAAAAATCCCTCAGACATTCAGATGAAGGTAATTCCAATCGGTGGTAAATTGTTTGTGGTGCTCATAACAGAAGTTTGTACCAGGACATGGTTTAAATGTTAGCTTCAGTAATCACTGAAGTGAACATTTATATTCTGGGTGTTTTTCTACTGGATACAAACAATATTTTCTCAGTGAACTGTGCATCAAAATGACTCACCTATATGTGAAATGACTGGACCATGGGGCTACGGAGAAAAGACCAATGCTGACATTCAGAATGTCCTATACTAAAAACGCTTTGAATAAAGATGGGCTTTGGATCCCTTGGGCACACAGGGATGGGTGGGAAGCATGGCACTTTACACACTTCTATTGCACTGCCAGTGAACTCCAAACACATGCCTGAGTGTCTGAAAGCTGGTCATCTCTGAACAGCAGCTCCTGATACTGTCACTGAGAAGAGAAAGGGATGCCTGCCCCCGTGCTGGGCGTGAGGAGTCTGCCCCCCAGGCCGCAGTCCTGGCCAGACCTTCGCCATCCCGAGGGCCTGAGGCTGTCTCCCTCTCCCCTGGAGAGACCGTGGGCCTGGAGGGTGGAGTCTGGTCCGGAAGTCCGAGAGGAACCCAGGTCCCCGCTCAGCACAGCACAGCATGGGGGACAGACCCGCTAGCTCTCATTTTCCTCGCCGCTACAATGAAGTGGACTGGAAGAACCGGCGAGGTAACGAATATCCAGGTTGACGAAGCACAGCCCTCCCCGCCCCACGTCCGCCACGGCTGTGTGCGCTGGTGCCAGCATCCAGGGAAGCCCACTGGGATTTACACAACTCCGGCCTTCCTCAGGAGGCTCTTTGGAAATGGCTCCTCTTGCTATGGCTGACGATTTACACGCAAATCCGGACCCAACTCTCCCCACATTTGTGTTAGTTACCTCAATGGGCTATGAGTCATGTCTTAGAATCTGTGGAACAGGTAATGCACTTACACATTCAAACGGTAGCAAGTACATCCCTTCACGAATGTTGTCTCAGTCTATCCCCTCCCCCCCTGCCTTCCATCCCCTAATTTTTTCACTAGATTTTTTTTGTAGCCTTCCACTGTTTACATGTGTTCAGAAAAATTGAATATTTTCATTTTCTGCTATACAGAAGTTAGCATTGTTATATACACTGTTCTAAAACGAGCTTGCTTTTCACTCAGCAATTTATAACATCTTGGTGGTCTTTTCATACCAGTTCATGGAAAACTTCCTCTTTATTTATTTATTTTTGCATTACAGAGTGTGTTCTATTATATGGATATACCACAATTTATTTAACCAGTTCCCTGTTGATGGACATTTGAGCTGTATCCAAGTGACATAAGTAACTTTGTTTTGGAAAGTATGTCTGCATTTGCTGGGATGGCAGAGTTTGGTGAGTACAGGAACTGGGAGGCTGTCGGATCGGACTCTCTCCTTTCACAGCCTGGACTCCAGGCATTCAGCGGCTCTGAGCAAAAAGGACGAGTGGAAAAGAATGAAACATGAGACCACTGGCAGCTGTAGTTGTGTGCAGAAGACAAAGAATTCCTGTTCCGGCGATAAAACGCCTGAGATACAGGGTGACACAGCCTTGTCACCTCCCACAGTGCGTGTCATGATGTGCTCCCTTCCTGAGGTCTTAAAATAGCAACGATGAGGACAGAAAAACGGACAGTTTGAGTGAAGGAAGAACATCGTACTTTTAGGATGTTTTAAATCACTTCAAGATTTCCATAAGTAAAACAAGTAAGAATATCAATAGAGTTATCTCACCTTTAATATCCTGTTTGTCCTGAATATTGGGTGAAAGCCAAAGAAGAGGCAGAGCACATCCAATGGCACCACTGCGGCCACATCCAGCTGTTGGGACAACACGTGTGCGGTTATGCGGAGTCCGCTGCTTCTTGGACGTGGACTATACCCACGTATGCAGAGCTGACAGCATCGCCGTCCTGTGTCCTTAACACAAAACCGCCTGCAGGCAAGCACGTGGTGCCACTGGAAGCAACAGCCCGTGGAGACAAGGCGGTCAGGCCTATGCCCTCAGAGCCCTGGGCGGCGACAATGGGAGGGGACACGCCCTGAGCCCAGGGGTGGGGGGTGGGGGGACGCCCTCTGAGCCCTCCCGGGAGCCTCGGCTCAGCAGCACCCCTGCGCAGGTGCTGCAGAGGCCGGTGATCACTGATGCGGGACTACACTTTTACAATTTTAAACGGGGCTTCTGGGCTGAAAAGCAAGCCCGGTCCCGATTGTTCTCTCTGCAGTGATGTTCCCACTCGCCAGTTCTGGGCCCTCACAGTGAGAACAGCACGGCTCAGGTGGCCGCCTCCAGGCTGCCTGCCCACCCACTAGCCACAGGGAGCAGCAAACGCCTCCCGGAGGTGGTGCCCAGGCTGTGCAGTGGGAGGAGGAATGGTGTAGGGAGGGCACTGCAGTGCAGCTCCACCGGACACAGTATTTTGGGTCTGTCCTGTGTCTGTACCCTGGTCTCCCACCCTGGTATTCTGAATGACAGCATCATGCTGAGGGCCTCTTTACCTAAGACAGGCGTCTTCAAACTTTTTAAAGTGGGGGCCAGATCACGGTCCCTCAGAGAGCTGGAGGGCCGGACTATATGAACTACTAATTCCTACTGTAACACCTCGGCTACGCTCACTGCCCAAAAAACCTGGCGGGCCGGATCAGACTCCTCTGCGGGCCGCATGTGGCCCGCGGGCCGTAGTTTGAAGAAGAGAATCACTCGCCTTCATTATTTTTTAGCTGACACTGAAAAGTGGGTTACGTTAAAACATTTATTAAGACAACTAAGGGCAGTGACAAGCATCCTGTGGGGCCACGTGATGGAAGGGGAGGCCTGAGCTGGGCCAGCGTTTTCGGCGGCTGTGCCCCCAAGAGCAGAGGCACTTTCCGGTTGCATGGGCCCACCAGCTGTTAGAAACCCATTACTGACTGGCAGCACCGGTTTGAGAGCTGCATCATCATCAGACCTGGGCTTTATCCTGCGGAGGATGAGCCTCAGGACGAGCTGAGGGTGAAAGGAGCAGCTACTAACAGCATCTCCCGAGTGAGGAAGTCAGGTGCTGCCCCACTGCGGTGCCTTCTGGTTCAGATGATATTAATCTTTAAAAAATATGCTTTCATTGATGTCAGAGAGGAAGGGAAAGGGAGAGAGAGAGAAACATCAATGATGAGAGAGAAACATTGACCACTTGCTCCCTGCACGCCCTACTGTGGATGGAGCCCACAACCCAGGCATGGGACCTGACCTGGAATCGAACTGGGACCTCCTGCTTCTTAGGCTGATTCTCAGCCACTGAGCACACTGGCCGGGCCATATCATCTTTTCTTTAACCTGTAAAAAGCTGATCTAGCCCGAGTGCAGTCGCCAAGCACAAAGGTGCCTCTGCTTTTGGGCACAGAGCAGGTGAAAGCAGGAGCAACCACAACGAAACACTAGTAAATGCAACCATCTATCTTTATCAACCAATTAAACACAGGAGTCAGCCTTCCCTCACCACTTTGAGAGTGAGCAGTTTGAGTGAGCTGGGCACTTAGGAAGGAGATGGTCCTCACGGCAGATGCGCCCAGTCAGCAGCTTTCTAACACGTGAGTGCGCAGGCGCCTTGCTCACAAAGGAAAGGAGCTGGAGACAAACGCACGGAAAGGCATTCTAATCACCAGCAGCAGCAAGTGGGACAATTTGGCACCTAAACCCAGATTTGAGTTTTTTAAACAAAACAACCTCCCATTTCAAGGACAATACTTTAGTGACTTGAGGTCACTAAAGTATTGTCCTTGAAATGGGAGGTTGGAGTTCCCTCCTCCAGATTGGGTGACCCCAAATCCCTGCCTGTGTCTCAGAGTTAGGGGAACAGACGGAAGGTAACAAGCTCTTGGCTGTGAATGATTGCGGGTGAAAACAAGGTTGTGCTGCCATTGGAGGAAAGGCAGAGGCCATGGCGTGTCACTTATCTACTCGCTTTCTTGCATTTCTCATTCTCGCATAGAAGGAGAAGAAAGGGGAGGGGAAGTAACTGTGTAGCATTTACGTCATCGTAGGAATGAGGCCAGCGCTCCTGCTGGCCAGACAGGGCTCAGCCACCCGCCTTACTGACGTCCAACTCAGAAGGCCCGTGTGGCCCAGCCTTCTGTTCTGCAGTAAAGCAGACACATCTGCACTTCGAGGAAGCATGCGTGTGCCACTGGCTGCCTCTAACAAACCTCCCTGTGCAAACTGTTCCCAAGGCTACATTTGTGGAAGAAAGCAGGTTTTCGGACAGGAACGTATGGTGGGACTTAAAAGTAAAATGCGATGGGTTGCTTGGATAATTTTGCGTTTGTGAGTCACCTACCTGAAATTTTGTAGAACTTCTGTAGAGCCTTGCTAGCTCATGGGGATCCATCTGAAACATATTTATATTTTAACCGTTTTAATAAAGTACTTTCTCACTTAAAAATACTGTTTCCTCAGTTTCTAACACAATGTCTAACACACAGCAGGTGCTCTCAATGAATGTGTGGTGGGTGAGAGAGGAGGAGGATGGTGTTTAACATTCAGACCTAAAAGAACTAATGCCAACGCTGCACTGGGATCCTTACGTTCAGTTACAGGCAGGAGGGACTTGTCCATGTGCTGTTAACCAGTGGACAAAGCACGTGACTGAACACGGGAGCAGCCTCTTCTCCCCCGACCACGGGCTGTCCACGTTGAGGGCTCTGCAGATGTTCGAGAGACCCCCCTTCCCTGCCCTCCCCTTTGGCTAGAATTGTACATACACTAAATGTCACAGAAATATACCCGAAAATGTATCAGGCATGCCTGTTTAATGGTTTTTACTGTGTAAAACGGCTCACTGAGCCACAGGTGGGCATCCACAGAAGGCTAGCTGAACCCTGGGCCAAGCTTAGCACCAACCTGTGGGCACCTTCAGAGCTTAAGTGGGGCCGACAGATTCATCGCAAGTGCTAAGAAATGAAGGCGAATCCCCCCTCCCAGCACTGGGAGAATGGATTTAGCATGTTTGTGCTTTTCCTTTCAGAGTTGCCTAAGCTCCTATGATTGAAAAATGTAAATGAAACTGCAACATGGTAGACTGAACGGAAATGCCAGAAGTGATTCTAAATGGCTCTCCTCTGGAGCCCTAGGTGCTGTGGCTCCGTTAGTTTTATGAGGATCAGCTTACCAGTTGGTCACCCCAGGCACTTACTTTTAAAATGTTGCCCTGTGAATTCTCTCTCTTCCCAGCCTCGGCAGTCTGCAGGCACATTTCCTCAGGGGAGGCTTACTCTGGGAGGGTATGCTAATGAGTCTGAACTCTTTGAATGTGTCCAGGAATTATTATATTTACTTATTTACCTCTTCTCGTAAACAATCGTAAAAATGCCGTAATTTCACACGGAACAGAGAGATGCTTCCAAAATAGGAACGTTCTCTGTTGCAACTTCAGTGCAGACAACACGGTGACTCAAGGGAAAGGAAGTCCTCGGACCGAGGTTGCCACCCATTGACCCCTCCATCATTTTCTGCGCAGACTCTGCGATCCTGGGAGAACGAGGCTGAACACTGGCCTCTCCCCAAACCTCTCCTCAGGAAAGAGCGAGAGCAAGAGCGAGGTGCACAGCCAGGAGGCCACAGGGAGGAGCAAGTGCGAACGTCATCCCTCTGATCGGTCAGCAACTTCCCGTGTCTTCCAGACGCCAGGCCTGGGCCCAGGTGCCCGCTGTCTTCTCTGACCCTCACAGGGGTTGTGAGTGGGGCCCGTTATTCCCGTTCTATGGATGGAAATGGTGGTGTGCAATGAAAGGTGCATTTCTTTTCTTCTAGTGATGCTGTTCATAAGTTTCAGAGATGCAGCTTGCCCCTGATGTTTGCTTCTATTTCATCCCTATTAGCCGAGTTGTTATTTAACAGGGAAGTCTGAGGAAGGCCCCAGCATGCCTAGCAGGGAGCAGTTACTTTGCTCCCTGTGGGTCAGTTTGTAAACAGTGACGCAGAGGCGGTCTCTCTGGCAGGCCTGCCCGACACTGTCACCGCAGGGCACTGAGTGTGTCCCTGCTCTTTGCAAAGTACTGCGGGCACGAGAGCTCCTAGCCAACCATCCCACTGTTCCTTCCGCTCCACCACTGCTGTCCATAAGGAAAGGAGGAGCAAGCTGCTTGCTGGTCCCTCATAGCATGCTGCTCTCTCATTAGCATGCTGCTATCTGTTAGGGCAGCCCATTGCGGAAACTACTCGACAGGATGGAAAACCTGTGGCCTTCCCTCTCCCTTTTCCCCTAGCTCCTTCTGCTGGGACCTTCAGCATCTCAAGCTGTTGTTTGCTATTTTTTTGTTTCCCCTCAAGGCCCCGGGGAATTAATATTTCCATCCTCAGCCCTGGAATGCTTGGCAATAGAGGTTGTTGATAAACGCTTGCTGCATGCATGCATGAATGAATGAGTGAATGACCTGCCTGTCCACTAAAGGTAGTGAGACTCTCAGGTCAGGTGCTCGACTGGCAACTCGTGTGTCTTCTTTCCAAAGTGAAATCAAGTCTCGAAGGCGAAAATGACCTCCCCTAAATTAAAAAAAACCATTACATGTCTTTTCAACAAACAAGGCAATTCATCTCTGTTCTACATTTGTAGCTGGTGATAATGCGTTTCAAATAGAGCCTATTGAGTGTGTTTTCATTGGTTATTTTTCCTGGTTTCTACAGGCCATTGTGTGCAAAGGCCTCCTGGAAAATGGAAAATAAAAGCCTCCCCTCACTGGTTCTGTCATTTCCATTTGTCAGACATTGATTTCTCCCCCTTGTGCATCTAATGGAGGTTGAAATGAGCTCCGTGTGTGTTTACTTTCCATTTGTCCACAGCATCGCCGTCCATCACGGGCTGAGCCTGGGCCGGCGGGAGTGCTGGGCCGCCTTCCGCAGGCGTGGCGCTGTGAGCAGTTTTGCTACAGCGTCAGCTCTGGCCTCTAGAGTTCCTTTCTAGGAGAGATTTCAAGTACAGGAAGCACTCTATAGCAAATAACATTTTAAAAGTCACCAACATTAGTCCTTCCAGCTTTCTGCTAATTTAAGATCACCTGGAGTCTCAGAAGAGCACGTTGAGGCGATTAAGAAACCTACCTGTCTGCTCCCCAAAATACAGAACTCAGTTCCACTCCCTGGCCATTCTGCTCACCCTGCTGGGTCCGCTCTGGCCACCCGCTGGGCGGGAGGCAAGGATGGCACATGGCACTGGCTGGAAAGGAAGGTGGGGAGGCAGGGCCGGGGCTGGGTCTGTGCTCACGGAACGTCCTTTGTGAGCCTCAGCTGACTGGGCGTGCCGTCCGCGGGGGGAGCTAGTCTCAGAGACCACCGGTGAAGAGCAGGCGCTGCCGCTCTGGGGAGAAAGCTGCAGTGAAGCTGAACAGGAGACAGGCCCGGATGTGTTAATTAACAGCGCTCCGCCGAGCTTGATCCTGCGTGCGCTTGGCTCGGCCTGCAGCGTGGCTTCCTCCGTGGGTCTGGCTCTCCTGCAGACCTTGGTGTTCATGGCTCTCTCCCAACCCCACAGCCCAACGGCGGGTCTCACAGGGAAGGCCGCGCTCTGTGCTACCTGCCAGGCGGCCCCGCCACCCATGGTTTTAGGCCCTGGAAGGATGGTGTGTGGCTGAGAAACCAGGATTTCCCATGTCATTTCATCTTAAAAAAATATATATTTTACTGATTTTTTACAGAGAGAAAGGGAGAGGGATAGAAAGCTAGCAACATCGACCAGCTGCCTCCTGCACACTCCCCATGGGGGATGTGCCCGCAACCAATGTACATGCCCTTGACTGGAATCAAACCTGGGACCCTTCAGTCCGCAGACCGACACTCTATCCACTGAGCCAAACCGGCTTTGGCTATGTCATTTCATCTTAATTAGGATTTACATTTGAATGGACACATGGCTCATAGCCAGTGCACTGGACAGCGTGGGATCCACTCTGACCGAGGGCCCAGGCCCCTCCTTCCCTTTCCAGCCAGGCTGTCCCCACGCGGCCTCTGTGAGCTGTGAGCTTTGTGGCTGAAGGCCTCCACACAGCTCACACTGCGGCCCGGGAGGCGAGCTGCGCTGGATGAGGTTTTATTCTATCTTATTCTTTCTGCCTGATTTAAAGTGCTGAGGGGATGGCAGGCTGTCAGGGGACAGAAGACGGCCTCCTAACTCGCACTCCGAGGCTGGAGCAGAGTACTAGTCACTCCCCTGCGCTCGGTGCTGGATGCTTGCCATTCAGGTGAGCCGTGTCCTGCTTGGACTTTCCAGAAGCAGGTCTGCTTCGTACCCTCCGTCCGACCCCCGCTGAGGAGCTCCCGACCCGAGGCCCTCTGGTCTGAGGCCTGAGCGAGTCCCTCCCCCTGAGGCCTCCGTGTCCCCGTGTCCGTAGGGCCCCTTCCCAGCGCACCCCCCTCCACGGCGAAGGCGCTGCCTGCCTCTCCTTCCCAAGACCAGCGCCCAGAGGTTCCTGTCGTCACTGCTCTGCGGGTCCCAGCAGTCGAACCTTTGGTGGTGCGAGGGCGATGGGCTCCCAGGAGGCTGAGACTCCCACCACTTAGAGCTGACACCCCGCCCTCGTCGCCTCCGCCTGCCCACTTACTCTGACGTCACATCCGCACCAATTTCTATGACGTCACATCCGCCTGCCCAATTTCATTGAAGTCACCTCCACACAACCACTTACAATGACGTCGCCTCCGCGGGTGGCGGGCAGCCGGGGCTGCACCAGCAGCAGGTCGCACAGGTAGATGAGGTCGCACAGGCCGTCCGCCGCCAGCCAGTAGGGGGCGCTGCGGGGCGTGTGGCAGGGGAAGGCCAGGCGCGCGGGCAGCAGGCAGCAGTTCCAGGCGCAGGCGGCGGCCACCAGCAGCGGCCACAGCAGGGAGTGCGGGGCTGGGGAGCGGCCGTGACCGTGACCGCAGCGCCAGGCGCCCCCTGCGCCCGCAGAGCTGGGGTTGGGGGTGGGGGCACGTGCTCCAGCGGCACAGCGCCCCCCGCCGCCGGCTTTCGGGGGCCAGGGACCTCATGGGCTCTTCCCACGTGGGAAGGAGCCTGGAGAAGTGGAGCCGAGTCGTGCCCACAGGACGGTGCCCTGAGCCAGGAAAGGGGCGCCCCTCCCCGCCGCCGCCTCTCACCTGGGCCTGATGGGGCCCGCACACCGCCTTCCAGGGAGGGGACAGAACTGCCCGCCCGCCCGGCCCGGCCCCGCTGGGACGCCCGGAGGAGCCGTACCTGCGCCGGAGGCCATGCAGCCGGGGAGCGCCCCCGGAGGCCCGGCCTGCGGGGTGGGACGCCCGCGCTGCCCCGGGGCGGACCGCACAGCGGCGGGCTGGGCTGGTGGGGAGAGGAAAGCGTTAGGAGGCTCCCTTAGCTCCAGGGGCAGAGAGCCTGCTTTCTTGAAGTCAGAACATTCCAGAACCTCCCCCCCCAGTACAGGCAGAGGAGGCTTTCGGTGACAGTAAAATGTGACATTCATGGAAGATCGGGTCCTGGAATCGCTGGGATTGGAAATGACAGCAGGTGAGCTCCTGCGCGGGCCGGAGGTCACAGGCGGGAGCTGAGAACCAAGCGCGGCTCAGACAGTGGGGCCAGGCTCGTGTCCTGCAGGCTGCGGACGAGCAAAGTTCAAACCGCCCTCCCAGCACATTCGCCAGGTTCCGTGACGGCTGCGTGCCTGCCTCTTCCCTGAAGAAACGAAGCTCTGTGCAGCCTTCCGGCCCAGAACCCGGGAACCTCGCTCCGCTGCGGGCAGCCACCTGACTGAACCGCCGCAGACCCCCCACGCACAGGGCGTGGCGTGCGTGAGGCGTGACGCACGGCGGGCGTGGCGCCTATGGGTGTGACGTCACGGGCGTGGCGTGGCGCCTCCCCGATTGCTCCCTGATTTCCGGAAGCACAGCCTGAGCTCCTTCGGCGGTGACAGTGTCCTCGCCCCCGGGATCAGGGACCGGTGGTCAGTGACCTGCGCTGTGTGAGCCCCACGTCCTCCCGCGCTCGGAGGACCGTGCTTACCGGGCGCGGACAGGCCTCCCTCCGCCAGCCGCCGCCCGCAGAGGCCGGTCCGGAGCCGCTGGGCCGCGGGCGCACTCACAGGCGGCGCTCCCGGTGGTCCGCTTTTTTGACTAAATGAGGGGAAAACAGCGACAGAGAAGGCTCATGAGAAGCTGAGCACGGGGACGGGTGGCGTCTTTCCCCCTCCCTGCGTGCCAATCTGCAGCTAGCTGACTGGAAGGCCCAGAAAGCCCACGCACTAAGCTTGATGGGCAGGTGCGAGCAGATGCCGGCGGGAAAGGAGGAACAGCAGGTGCCATTCCTGGCCACACTGCACCTCCCGCCCCGAGGCCGCCTGGATCGGGCGGCTGGAAGAAGGGGCTTCGGCTGGCCTGCGGGCAGGGTTCGAGGGCGGCGTGGTGAAGAGGACCTGCTTAACCCCGGCTATGCACGTGGTGGGGCTCACAAGGGGAATCTAGCCGTGTTCACGGCTCAGCCCGCTGGAGCCAGAGGGCCGTCACCAGGCAGCCTCCTCTGACCGCAGTTCTCCAGCTGCCAGCAGCAGGCAGGCGGAGGTCTGGGCACCAGGGGGTCTCACTTGAGAGAGGCTGCTCCTGGCTCTGAAGAGGAAGGGCCCCGTAAACTCTGCTGAGGACCGCGTCCCACACCCACAGGCGCCTTCCGCCAGTCACGGGGTGAGCCTGGGAGTAGGTGTGTCTCCAGGTGGAGCGCAGCCGCCTGGCTGGCGCCTGGGTTCAGTGTGAGACCTGTGTCAAGAAGCCGGCCACCGCCAGCCCGCCGGCCTGTGGACCTGTGAGCTATGAAATGGGCGCGGTTTTAAGCCACTAAGTTTGTGACGACTTGTCCTGTAATGAACCTCCTCCTAAAAGAAGCGTACAAACAGCTAGGACAGGGCACAAGGTGTAAGCGAGTGATTTCCTAAGAATCTGACTTTCCGCACAGGCTTTGTCTCACTCTCCACCTTCCTTCCGAGGTCTGACCTGGGCCTCCTGGGCTCACACAGCCTCCTTCACTCTCACTGCCTCACACCCACACTCCCTCCTCGTCTGCTTCTAGCCGGGACTCCTGGGGCGCAGGTGGAGCCCGGGCACCTGAGGGTGCCACTTAAAGAGAAGCTAGTGTGACCCACCTGACCTCTCTGGGCCAGGCCCCAAACACAGCCCCTCCGACCTGCTGCGGGCTCCCAGGCAGCAGCCTCTCTCTGCCTTCTCTTATCACAGAATAACTCATTTCTCTGCAACTGTCACAAGTCCTGTGCGAGCATCAAGCATCAAGATTCTTCAACTGTGTCCACCTTTCGGATTCTTCTCCAGAAGGGCGAAGGCGGAGGTGGTGGGAGGAGACCCGATACGCCTTATGGGGATGGAAATAGGACATTAGGTCCACAAACCCCGAAAAACCCTTCTTCCTTATGAGTAAGGAGTGTTGTTAGATACCGCTTCACAGATTCCTTCTTAGAACCTTGTAAACCTAGACGTTGATCTCCCTGTCAGACGGTTGTTGAGTCTACGCACTGGAAACACAGATGCGTTAGCCACAGTCCCGGGTGGATGCGCACAGCTTCACGGGAGGCAGGGATGTAACAATCAACCTTAAAGACACGCACACACTGGACTCGGCCGGGGAGCGTGAGGGCTGCACAGAGGGCGTCTCAGGTGAGAAGCTTAGCAGGGCGTCCACGGAGAGATGGAGGGAGGCTTTCCGCGCTGTGAGGACAGTGTGTGAGGACCGTGTGCTCCAAGGTGGACAGGACCTTGGACGTGACGGGAACGGGGCTGGGGGGCGGGGGGGACGGAGGGGGACGGGGGGGGGGGGAGTGTCCGGGTTCTGATGGCTGCTCTGTCGCCTGCTTGGGCCTGCAGGCTGATGGGAGCCGTGCAGGTGCAGAGCGGGTGGGTGCTTTGGAGAAGAGGAGCGGTGAGCATGCAGGAGGTGAGATTAGAGTCGATGAGGGAAAAAGAGAATAAAGAGCTATTTACAGGCAGAAATCAAAGGATTGGAACTTTCTGGATCTTTTGGACGAACCCAAAGGAGTTGAGAAGAACGCCAGGTTTCGGCTGTGAGAGACAGATCCCGGAAGGTGCAGTCACATGACACCGGATTCAGAAAGGAGTTGTTGGATGGAAAAAGCGAGTCTGCCTTTGGGTGGGCCTCGCCTGTGACACCCACGAGGCCTTGGAAACAGCTCTGGCGACGTGAGCTGGTGTCAGCGGTGACTGTGGGATGTGCGCAGCCCTGCATGCAGCTGACAGCATCACAGACTGAAGTTCTCAAGGTTTAGCTCGGAGCGTATTCAGCCTCCACAAGATCTCAGGCAGCGAGGTTCTGAATAATGCTTATTGACTGAATAAACCGCATGTCTCCACTTTTGCTGACCTTATTTGATGTGCCTCAGTGCACTGAAAAATTCTATAAAAAGGGAAGGTGAGAGTTGTTGGATCATTAGCCATAAAGCCAGATATTCAAACTGTCAAAGGTCTAACTGAAGCCCTAAGACCCAGGACTGCTTTTTATGCTGACTTATCTAGAAGCCCTCACTGCCCGTGAAATTGCCCTTAATCATCCACGTTGCACTGTGCAAACCTGCTTCATGGCCAAAATGCTGAAAACTGAGGTAGACCCATGCAGCTAAATCTCAACTCCTGAACCTCGTTCTTTTTGGGGCGCCTGAGCATTGGTGCACCAGTCACTACCATCTCTTCCCCTTCTCCAGTTTCTTTTCTGGAGTGATCTTTGCCCTTTGTCCACAAATACACAGAAGCTAGGAGTGTAGTTTTCTTTTAGGTAATGTTGTGGTTGAACAAAAAGAGACAATAGAGTTGAAGAAACATATCCCATGAGATAAGTCAAATGAGGGTGAGAGAGGAAGCCAATGGGTACACGCCTCATATGCTTCATTTGAGCTGCATTTAGCATTTACTCTTCACATTATTAGTTATATATTTTAAAACAATTATTCTCATAATTCCTGATGAAAGATCTAGTAAATGATAGACGTATTTCGCCAGTTTTGATAAATGTAGGAGGAAAGTTACTGAGTACTCCTCCTGAGGGGGCTGGGGGTGGAATTGCTTCTCGCATGCTGTGGGACTGAGCCCCGGGAGCCGCGCCATCTGGCGAACCAGGGACCCCCCGTGAAAAGGAAACGGAAGAGGCTCCGCTGTTCCTGGTTAAGCCTTACTTACAGTCTCTGTGCTCAGAACAAAGTGCAAATGTAAACATCTCTGCTACAAAAATAAAAAGTATTTGCTTACGTACCTATGGAAAAATAAAGACTAGTTGGAATAATACTTATTCCTTTTTCTGATAAGGGCTCAGAGAAAACGCATTTTTAAAAAGGCGGTATAGCTTGGAATTCCAGCAGCGTTCCCCATTTCTTTACATTCATTCAGGGCTAAGGCGGGGAAGCCGTGGGCTGGCCGTGCCGGGCAGGGCTGGGGAGCGGGGCACTGGGTGGCCGGGGGCTCCTGGCCCCAGATAAACGCGGTGTGGAGGCCACGCCTGGTCTGGGGGGTGGGGGAGACTCGGAATGCCGTGTTAAGAAGTGCCCGCGTGAGACATGGGTCTGAAAGTGCTTCTCCGGGCCTCTCTGCGTTTGTCAGGAAAGCGTCCTGCCACCACCGCGGGCTCCACTTTCACATGCCCTGAGGTGTGTCAGGCTGTGCCAGCCCGGCCAGGGGGTGGCGGCTCTCATGGGGAGCGGGCAGCGGCGGGGCGAGCTCACAGGGAGGGACCTTTGAGTGGAAGCGTGAAGGGAACGGAGGCCAGGTCGTGTGGGCGGCCGCCCTGGGCGCCACACTGAGGCAGGAGCCCCTCGCCCAGAAGGAAGGCCAGTGCCCCCCTTGGTGGTCCCGGCGGGGGTTCCCACAGCAGAGGAGGGCATGGAGCCGAGCTGCGGCAGTGACTGCAGGAGGAAGGAGGATGAGGGGCCGTGGTGAGGAGGCAGTGGGACAGCACTCGGGCTCACAGCACGACAGGAGGGGCAGGCGGGGCCGGGCTCCCCCACCAAGTCCTGCCACCGCCGTGCTCACCTGGACCTCGGACCCTGACCTCCAGGCCGCCCTGAGTTCCTGGTGAGCAAGACGGGGCCGCCACGGAGCAGCTGGGCCCTTCATCTAACGGGGTGCCTGCAGGGAGGCAGGGGGAGACCCGGAGACCCAGAGACCCGGAGAGGCCCGGTGGCAGCGGAGGCCGTGGCCGAAGGGATGTGCCGCAGCCAGGACATGCCCAGGACGG